CCCCCCCCCTAGAAGAGTCCCCCCCCCCCCCCCAATATATTTTCAGCCTGGAAGCATGGTTTCTTTGATTTAGCCCCGGGCTAGATCGTTTTCGACCAAAAAACAAAATCCCCCTGGGTAGTTCAATTTCCCGCCGGGGTACCAGTTTTACCACGAGTTCCCCCCCGGGGGGATGTATTTCTCATACTTTCTGGGTCGATTTTGTTGCATCGCGGAGCACAAAAAGCATGATATGGGACGGAAAATTCATTTGCAGAACTCCCCGTAGTGTGAACGGAGCTGGCGGGTACTCTCTGGAAGGCGGGCTCTTCCTCTTCTTGGAATCACTCGCGGGAAGGAGACAACCTCCCCCAGCTGCTGTCCTCCTTGCTGTCTTCTTTCTCTTCGCCTTCGTTGCTCTTACGTTCCTCCTCCCTCTGCTTGTTGAACGCTTGCTCGAAAACCTTGTCCATCTCAGTGTCGCCACTCTCTGTATGTGTGGTGTGTGGACCATCATTTTATCATTATTTTGCACAACCCCCCGGGGGGGGGGCTTCCCCCCGGGGTAGCGTTGGAAAAAAAAAACTACCCCCCCCGGTACGTCAATTTCCCCCCGGGGGGGTTGGATTTTCGAATGGGTAGTCTTTCTGTGTGTGTTTTTATTATTCCTTGATTCAGAAAAAAAACGATCCCTTCCCCGGGGAGAAAACCCCGGCGTTTACGGTACTCCGTACAGGAAAAGTCCCAAAAGCGACCAATGCAAAACAACAACGGGTCGAGTGCCCCGTGTGATCGCCTCAGCGATATCAAGAGGAGCTAAGCTACGAACGAGCTCCGCGAGACCGCGACCACCCTATATTTTGTCACTCGCTGCAGAGGAGAACCATCCGGCGTTGTTTCTTCTGTCTCAATGTACAAGTCGGACTACTGCCCATCAGCATGAGATCGTGCCACATCCAATCGCCGCGAGGAATATAAATATCCCCCCCCCCCCTCCCCCCGGTGTTTGCCATCGGGGTTTGGGTTTTCGTCCCTTGGCAACGACGCTGTAAAACAAGCCCCCCACTCGGTGTTTGCCATCGGGATTGGGTTTTCGTCGCTTGGCAACGACGTTGTAAAACAAGCCAATTCACTTCGTGAACTCGGCAACCAGGTTACCGGTTTTTTTTTTTACCTCGTTTTTTTTTTTGGCGGTAACCATAATGGTGGTCGAGTAGATCATGTTGTGCGGGGTCGAGAAACCTCACTCCGCGCAACGGGGGATGATCGCACCACGTTGTGTTAAAATGGTCAAGCTTCCTCGAGGCAGTTACACAGTGCTTACAACTGTCTCTGGAAGTGAAAGTACCAGAAAATAAATTAAGTCATACGTAGCTGTCATCCGTACGCAAGGAAGTAAGCACAAGATGCCGAACACCCTTAGCAGGATGCAGCTCACCCTTCATGCGACTCGCCAAATACCTCACGGCGCTTCGCGCTTGGTGATGTGAGAGCCTGGTCCGGTGAGAACCCGCCGTGCTCCGTCCCGGCTTTGTAGGGATGCTGAGGTCAATGGTCAAACGACTACGGCATGCACTGACTAATGAGTACACCCCCCCCCCCCCCCCCCTCGGTGTTTGCTCATCGGGATTGGGTTTTCGTCGCTTGGCAACGACGTTGTAAAACAAGCCAATTCACTTCGTGAACTCGGCAACCAGGTTACCGTTTTTTTTTTTACCCTCGGTTGTTTTTGGCGGTAACCATAATGGTGGTCGAGTACATCATGTTGTGCGGGGTGGAGAACCCTCACTCCGCGCAACGGGGGATGATCGCACCACGTTGTGTTAAAATGGTCAAGCATCCTCGAGGCAGTTACACAGTGCTTACAACTGTCTCTGGAAGTGCAAGCACCAGAAAATAAATTAAATCATATGTAGCTGTCATCCGTATGCAAGGAAGTAAGCACAAGATGCCGAACACCCTTAGCAGGATGCAGCTCACCCTCCATGCGACTCGCCAAATACCTCACGGCGCTTCGCGCTTGGTGATGTGAGAACCTGGTCCGGTGAGAACCCGCCGTGCTCGGTCCCGGCTTTGTAGGGATGCGAGGTCAATGGTCTAACGACTACGGCATGCACGACTATGAGCACCCCCCCCCCCCCCCCCCCCCCCCGTGGTTGAAATTTC